GAACCGCGTGCCTCTGAGGCATACAATTAGGGTTCAAAATACAGTATAATTGGGTTTTAGTGTATATATTAGGCGCTTAGTAGTGATGATCGATAGGCACTCATTAGGACTCGAAAACATAAGAAAACATTATTTTTTGACTTAAATATAATGAGAAGATATGTTTTACAAGAAATCATTTCTCTATAATTACGATAAAAATTCTTTTTGACATTAAATAATGAGTCGATTAGATGTGGAGAATAATTTCAAGATAAATATCGTTTGAGAAAACATATTCTGTAATTCATGTGTTTTTAAATGTTGAATAGTTTCTAAATATATGTCATTAGGATTAAGCTTAACCTAACAGTGAGTTTGTATTTATTAATAAAAACCTATATTTGTACATGTATATTTTTTTGTATTTTAAAGCGAATAAATCTGTAATTTATTTTTGCACAAAGAAAATGATAAATAAGTTACGAATAAATCACAAAATGAATGATTAGACAAAAAACCAAATCTTAAGCCAAAATAAGAAAATAAATGGATTTATAAATGAAAAAATGTATGCAAAAAATGAATGCAAATTCACACTACGGTACTCTTACATAAGTGATATATGGGAACGGTAGGTAAGCATTGATAAGAAAATAGATAATGATTTAAATGATTTCCTAATACATAGAGAAGTAGTTTTTTTTGGGAAAGACTTACCCGAGAGTTAGTCTTATGCTTACTGTCAACATAGCCTTCAAATGAATATGTGTTGAATTGAATAATAATTTTTTATATTTACTTATATTTTAAAAGTCAGAATTTAGTAAAATATTCGGTTATTTGAAAGTTTTTTGTGTAATAAAAATGTAATAAAAAGTTTATTAATATAAGTACAGTGTCGCAACTAAAATAGACTATCAGTTCACAAATCAAATTGAAACGTTATAAAACACACATATAATTTATTGATTGAAATAAATGGCATTCAAATAATATGCTGACAATTAAAATGGCAAATCCGATCGCCATCCCGGAGCCCAATCTGTCTTCGCATGTGTCACTCAATTGACATAAAGTGTTAATATTCCGAAGGAGTCGACCATTGGATCCGTTTTATTATATGTCTTATGATTTCAGTGTTGAGAAAAGGGATTCAAAATTTTCAAAATACATTTTTCTTTTTTTAATGATTAGAAATATTTTCTGTTTTTTATATAAATACTTAGTATCTAATAGTTAACAATCTGCAGACAATTTTTTATATTTAATTCTTATTGAAATGACACAATTGTGACAAAAATAATGAATTAAATTATGTTTTAAACGATGTGATAACTACTTAAACCAGACAAACAATAAGATTTAAAGAGTTTCATAATTAGATTTAAAATTACATTATTATAACTCTTTTAAATACATATTTAGTTTTTTTTGAGTTCAACCAATTACGTTATTTGACTTTCGGTGTGTGTGTGTGTGTGTGTGTGTGTGTGTGTGTGAGAGATGATAGACTAACGTGTAGTGAATTGTATTTGTCATTTACTATTCACACAATTCACGGATATAAACCAATTACGTTATTTGACTTTCGGTGTGTGTGTGTGTGTGTGAGAGAGAGAGAGAGAGAGAGAGAGAGAATAGAGAATTAACTCTTTAAACCAAAAAAGTTAAAAAGAGTTTGGTTTTGCACGCAATTTAATATAATTTTCGTTATAATTAAGTGAGAATAAAATGATAATTAGTATTTTCAGAAATCAGTGCAAAAAGAATTTATAATATTTCAAATTTGGTGTAATCGGCGCTCACTTTAGTAAACAGTAAACATAATTCATAATTCAATTCAAAAACTAAATTAGAGCAATATATCCGTGAATTGTGTGAATAGTAAATGACAAATACAATTCACTACACGTTAGTCTATCATCTCTTACACTGTATTACTATTTTCGCAACTGTTTTCATAGACTCGAAAATGTTTGTGTAGTTAAAAGATGTTTTCAAAGGCTAAACACTGGATAACCAAAACAACCAGAGTTGTGAATAAATTAAACCTTACATGACCTCAAAATATAATTTATACAATAAATTTCTAATAATAATTAAAAAACATTCATAAGAATAATAATAAAAGTATAAAAGATTTTTGTGAGAATTAATGATTTTGTTAAACTTACAAGTTAAAAGTTAAACTTAAGGTATTATATTGAAAGTGCCGTTAAATAAGTTAAATAAAAATTGAAAAATAAGTTGTTTTCCAGAGATTATATCTATTGAATGCGATTAAGTGTTAATTAGTTTTGGAAATCATTAATATGTTTTGTAGCAATTCATACACAATATGTTATAAGTTTTTTAATGAATTCTCAATTAAGCGTTTGTTAATGGATAGTAATTAAAATAATTAATTATTTATTAAATCGTCGCAAAGCTTAGGAAATTAATAAAAAGCAATGTTTTTCATTAGAATTGTCGAAAATATTGTTGATTTGAGTCCAAAAATGAAAGGATTAATCGTTTGGATTAATCAGAAATTGCTATTAACTATATGGTAGTGAAATAAATACAGAATATGTTATTCTTTAGATGTCATTCAAAAAAGCATTTATCTCTTCATGTGATTAATTGAGTAAATTGTCAAAAGGGTTGCCAATAGTATGTAACAAATATATTAAAATTAAAATTCAATACTAGAACAACATTTCCATAAATAAACTGCAAAAATCCTATTGAGAAACATATAATTAATTAAGTCATGCATTAATTTAAAAGAAAAAAGTGCTAAAAATATACACAAGTTTTTGAAAATTATTTTCGTGTCTAAGTTAATACTCATAAAATACTATATCATTGAGAAATAGATATACAGCATATTCGGGGTTTAAATCAAATCATTAAACAAAACCAAAAACTAAACAAAAGCAAAATCCTATAAATTATATTACTTTTGAACCAATTATTTTCATAGAGTTTTTGCCCAAAAAAGCTGTTTAAACACTTCATAAATTATTTATATATTAATTAATTTTTAATAACAAAAAAAGCAAATTTTTTTGGGACACCAATAGATTGAACTCATTTCCAATGTGTTAAACAATAATTTATTGTTTAGCAAAATAAAATGCCATTAAATTAATGCAATACCAATCTAATAAACAAAAAGTTAAGTTAAGTTAAAGTTTTCTGATCAAACTCAACGAAAAGACAAAATTAGCAATAAATATCAATAATAATAAAAATCAAATAAACTTTTGTGAATAATATTGTACTTTTGTGTGTATTATATGTACTTATTTTACTCTCGGATCAAATAGTTATGTTTTCGCAGTTATTATGAGAATTAAATTTATTTTTTATGAATATCTTTTCATATTTAACACACTTTTCGAGACAATTATGTGTTCGTCGAGTGAAAGGCCTGACTGTCGGCGACTGCACTCATACCACGGCTCAGACCATCACATTAAGCGGCGAACCAAACGCTTTCTGTTCCCATCGACGCTATCGGTCGTCAATTTGGGAAATACATGCGGCTGTCGGAACCGATTCCCATTCCCTTATGGTCTGTGTATTCGCATAATTCGTGTCAATACATACAATTATATATATATTTACGTATATAGGAGGCATTCCACCTTATGGGGGAGGTATACCCCCGTATGGGGGAGGCATTGGGGGAGGCATACCTCCATATGGGGGAGCATACGGACCCTATGGTGCCGGCGGTGGTGTACTGAATGGTCGGCAGACAGGTGGGGCTGGTAGGTTTGGTAATTTTAGGGGTGGCGGACAGTTTGGC